TTTTTTTTTTTTTTTTAATCCATGCAACTTTGGATAGCCACTAGGAGTAATGGGTTAAGATCTGTTGATGTAGAACTAAATAGATTAAATGCAAGATGCTAGAAGCATGGTAATTGCATTCCAGATGACTTTTTCAGATAGCTTGCAACTAATTCTGTGAATAAATATATCTGAAGATTTAATGTATTAGTCATGTTACACCCTTTCTATGTAGCACAATAAACTTTTTTTTCAATTACTGTGAGACTGTTTTTCCTTATCATAATGTATCTTTATATGAAATGTTTTGTTATTTTCCCCTGTGATTCTTTATTGAAAACTCGATTAATAACCTAATGTAAACAATATTTAAGAAACTAATTCAGTGTATTTATATTTTGTATTTATATTTATATTTTATTTATTCATATTTATTTATATATTCATATTTTATTATATTTATATTTATATTTTAACTTTTATTTCTACAACACAATTGGATGATAAAAAGTTGCTAAAATGGTTTTATTATGACACTTTTCTGTATAAGAAAAAATAGAACACAGTTTCAGTTCATTCTGCACTAGTTGTATACAAGTGTGATAACGTCTTGTGCAGAATAAATTCTTGGACGAAGCATATTTGTAGTTGGCTACTTGTGCATCTTATTACAAAGATATCAATGAAATATTTCTTTAATTTTTTGAAAGATAAATCAGTATTGAAAAAGATTAATTTGTCCTAAGATTCTTTCATTGAAAGATCCTGTATTTCACACTCAGTGAAATAGAGACAACAAGAAGTTTTGATAAAAACAGCATTAAAGGATAATAAATCCAGCTAGCTCATTGCCTTTTCCTTCTTTGGCCTTCCTGAGCCCCTCGTGAAAAAGTAATTTGCTGACTTTTTTATTACGTTGTTCCTATGTCTGTAAAGAAAGTATGTTTTATGTCTAGACCATATGTCCTTTTTACTAATGTTCTGGAGGAAAATAAAACTGTGAGAGATTAATTTGGATCTTTTCTTATCTGTACAAAACTTTTTCCTTTTAAGAAAAGGATAATGATCTAGCACTTTTTTTTCAGAAGTGTTAACATTGTTTCCTTTTTAGACACTGGTGGCTCTTTTTCATTTCTCATAGTTTTACTTTGAAAAGGCCAAATTTAAACATGAGTGCCAACAAAAATCAAACTTTACTCATGCCAGTGAGCAAAGTGACTATTACTAACTACAAGATTCTGTATTCAAAACATGGTTAACATTTTGGTATGTGAGCTGGAAAAGAATGGGCATGCTGTCAAATTACATTGGCGTTGCAATTTCACTTAAGTTAAATCAATCTCTCCCACAGAAAAGAACCTCAATATTGACTCAGGATATACGCATTAATGTTTATTTCTTTTATTAGACTAAAAATGACTTGCCTTATATTAAAATCTTTTATATTTATCTACTTAACTTGAGGCAGTATTAACATATTCCAAAACAGACTGGTAATGTGTTATCTTAAAAGCAGACTAGCTTTGGATGAGAATGGTGGTGCCTGCGTAGAACAGAAATGAGAACAGCTGGTAACTCAGACGAATCATTTGGGACATATATCTGTACAACAGTCCTCATGTTACATGGAAGCTTTCATTAAGTCTTAAAATGTGAATGCTACAGGAATGATTTGTATCATCACTTGTTCTTTTCAGTCTTTTCAGACTATTCTGCTTCATCTGATCCATAAACTCATCTGCATCCATTTTGGGCAGCAGCCCCACTCAGTAGCACTCAATAACACACATGACCGATGAGTTGGTGGAAAGAATAAGAATATGCTGCTTCTGTTTTAAGTATATCGGTTTTCTTTTTCCAATTACATCTGTAGGAGGAACCCAGCCCATTCAGGTTCAGGGAAGGAAGATGTGTGTGGTTCCTTACACAAGATTTTTTGAAGAAATTAGAAAGAAATTAGAGAATTTTCATGGAATGCTGTGCACAGTGAAGCTTCAGTATGTGTTTAAGCTCACAGCCTCCCCTTTTCTTTCACTGTCACACAGAGCTGATACTTTCCTAATAAGGAATTACAATCACAACATGGCTTTTTTTTTTCCTCAGCACTGACAAGCCTTCAGTAGTGGTGTTGGTAAGGTGGTGCTCAGTTTGTCTCTGTCTTTATATAGTTAGTCTCTAGGTCTGTGGGAATACTGTTTTGACTGTCTGTTTTCTTCCCAAGATATGAGTGAAATGCACTGTTAGTGATGATCTTGGTTCAGTAACTTTACATAGACTGGAGTAAATGGGGTGCTTTATAATTAGAAAAGGAGAGAAGAAATTAAAAGGAAGGATCAGGAGTGTGTCTCCTGAGAACAGGGCACTGGCTAAGAAGATACTGTGTTAATGTATTTTGTGAGAAACGAGGAAGCCAAATAGAAGTTTTCAATTTACAGGTATTAACCGTCTTTTGTTACATATTTGCAATTACATATTACAGTCTTTTATTACATATTTACAGTCTTCCTCTTTGACTTTTTATTTTCTACTTAAATCATTTTCTTCCCCACAATTTTAAATGCATAGTGTTATCCCAACAGTTCTAGCTTAGCTAAACACATTTTAATACTTAGTTTTCCATACACTTACATTTTTGGGAAATAAAACATTTAAATTTTATAAAACAAAAAGCATCCTTCAGCATTGTGAACCATCCGTAAGACATGAAATTCAGCTTTTTTAAATAGATATGTAACAATATTTTTCATGATGAAGGAGGGATATTGGTCTGTGAAGACTTTAGAGAACAGCCTAAGTTTCACATGATCTCATTTCTTTGTGTAGGTTGGCTGAAGACTTTTGGGGACTACTTCAGAGATCAGACACAGCATATCTTAAATAACATGGTTATAAAACTACAAGAAGACAACCGAAGAAAATTTGTGTGGTCTGAAATTTCTTATTTTTCAAAATGGTGGGATGGAATAGATAGTCAAAAAAAGGATGCTGTTAAAAGGTTTGAAAATCTTTATTATCTGTGTTGTACTACTTGCAGAATGTAATGAATCTTTATATGCATTTGACTGCACTGTCGACTTCATTTCTGGAAATGTGGTATGACAAGAATAACCACACTATTAAAGTTCTGAAAGTTCTGGCTTTTCCTTTTTTTTATGGTTTTTTTTTTGTTTTCCTCAATTAAAAAGCAAAACTTCTATTTAGAGAAATGGAGCCAAGTTACTGAGTTGCTGGGAAAAAACAAAGATTGAAATTCTCCATTCGCAACCATTATGATGGTTTTTGAATTGTGGAAGTTTTTGTTCTAAACTCTGTTCCTTTGTTTGTATTGACATAAAATTTTGGGGATGAAGTTAATCTTTCATACTTGCAATTTATTTGAGGCTAATGTTTCATTCAGTTATGATAGTCATGAAATCAGATGCTTTGCATCTTAAATTATGCTCTTAGTAAATATGCAGCTGTGTAAATGTTAAGTACATACTCCACAGAATTGTTGTTTTTTTTCCTTAAATCACAGTTCATAAAGTAATACAATAGCAAGATATCTAAGTAGGCAATTAGACAAGAAAGCAAGCTGCTTGCATAGCTTCTAAGTAAGGATCTAATTTTGAGATACTACCCTTGCTATCAAAAAAAAAAGACATATGCTATATTAGTATTTAGTGTATATAATATGTGTATGTGATATATATTTATTTAAACGAAGATACCTTAGCTGGGTCACAATCATCCCTTCAGGATGCACTGGGCGTAACTAGAGCTGCAACATGTATTCAAGTTATAAGAGTATCAAAGCTGCAAAGCATTGGTGTTCATGGAAGTCTTGGGATTAATATAGAAAATTATTTGTTTAAAAAGTTGTGTACAAATTGTAAATAATAGGACACTGGGGGATTTTGTGACCATAAAATCTCTTGGAACACAAAAAGCAGGTAAACAGCATTCACTAGGGAGCTATGTGCTTCTTGACTCAAGTAAATCATATATTCATTGAACTACTTTTTAGTTATAAAAGAGATTCAGAAACATGCACAGGAGATTATTTGGTTATATTTTTTCATTAGTTCTATGAGAATTATTTATGTTTTGAGTATGTGCTGGTAAGTCTGTTGTATTTCTTGAACTCATTAATCAGATATGGAGTATGCTACACTGTGCCAGTATTACTCTGATAACTATTTCAGTGGGATGGTCTTTATAGTTATATAAAAATTGAAGCTCTGTTAGCTTTCTGAAAAGGTAAAAAGAAGGCTTTACAGGGATAGGAAGTATCAGTAGTGCTAAAACTGTCAAATATCTGGGCATCTCACTCAGTTGGCCTTTAGTGCTGTGCTATATGCACTATTTTATTTTCGTAGTCTTTGTGCGAAATAGCCCTCTTTGTGAATAAAAACAGCAACAATAAATATGCTGTGGCATGTGCAGAATGGTAGATAGTTTTATAATTTTACTTTTCACAGTTATTAAGAATTTTCCTGTTCGTGTGCTCATACTTTATCCTCAGGTTAAAAAATAAAGAATAAAAAAGACTCGTATTGGAACTAGGACATTGGATTTAGATTTTGGTATTGGTTCCACAATAGATCTCATATGTATTCAGAAATTGATTTTAACAGTATATTTTCACAATGAGTTTCTGAACATAGTTTACCTCTTTTTTTCATTCAGGCTAATAAAAGATGGGCAATTTGAAATAGTGACAGGAGGATGGGTTATGCCTGATGAAGCCTCTGCCCACTACTTTGCTTTAATTGACCAGCTAATAGAAGGACATCAGTGGCTAGAAAGGAACTTGGGTATGTTGATTTAAAAAATGTTTTGCTGTGTTGATGCAAGCAGTCAGTTAGCAATTTATTCTTTATATTTCTCAGGTGATTAAAAGGCTTTGCTTATTATGCTATCCTGAAACATTCAATCAGACCACTTATTGCAGACTGCAGGATTGAGCCTAGTATTTGCAATTTCTATTTACAAATATTTTTGAATAAGGTGTATTTAATTTTTTTTCTTGTTCTAACAGATTAATAAAAGATGATCATAATATATAAGAATAATAATATGCAGAATTAAATTATGCTAAACTAGTTCACATGCTTCTGATATCACAAACAGTTGTTAGGACAACCTTTTGTCATTAGGAACCATAAGTAAAGGTTTAAAATCATTGGATTTAAAAATTAAAAATCTGTGTGTTTGAATTTATTCTGGATATTAGTTATTATATTGGTATTGTTTGCTTGTAGTTGAAAAATCTTTTTTTCTTCTACTCTTCCTTTTGTCAACAGGAGTAAAACCAAAGTCTGGCTGGGCAGTTGATCCCTTTGGCCATTCCCCGACAATGGCCTACCTTTTGAAACGCACAGGATTTTCCAATATGCTTATACAGAGAATTCACTACTCAGTTAAAAAACATTTTGCAAGTCAGAAAACACTAGAATTTTTTTGGCGACAGAACTGGGGTATGTCTTTTTTTTTGTTTTTCTATGTCCCAGCATATTTCATTTGTTGCTTTATTATTGATGAATTAGAAAAGAGAAAATGAAAATCTTCACAGGAACAGATTATTTGCACAAGTCAGTAAGTCTTCAAAATTTTAACTTGTCATTTTCTTGTTTTTAAAAGAAAATCTTCCATTTTGTTTTAAAAACATCCAGGATAGCTGATACTTTCTTTGATTCAGTTCTGTTTTACTGATTTTTTTTACTGTTTCTTTTTTACTGTAATTTTACTTTCTGTTTTACTGAAGTTTTTAAACTTCAAGATACACCTGCATTTCAAACATAAATCCTAAAAGAGGAAACAACATGGAATTTCCTCTCTACTTTTTCTCACATCTTTGCTTTCTTCCTCCTATTTTATTACCAGATATTTATATTTAGTGAATAAAGGCAAGGAAATAAAGTGGAAGTGTAAAGGAATATTTTCCTTAAATGGCAGCAAAACTGAATATTGGATGAAGATAGAAAGGTTTCTTTTCTAGTCTTACTATGGGGAAAACCTTCAAGCAACTGTATTTTCTCAGGATGTGTGATGAATTTGTCTAATTAGTTACAGCAGCTTTGAAACATGTAGATTATCTTTACTCATAAAAAATGATTAAAAATACTTTTTAATTTGCAGTGAATTTCTCAAAACTTTTTTTAGAATAAAGATAATTGCTTTCTTGATATTATTTATGCATTATAGAATATGAAAGATCAGTTAAATAATGTAGCAATTATAACTGCAAACTGCAAAGTATCTGAAAATGTCTGTACTTTCTGATAAGAGTGTTATGTTTTGTTTTGCACAGTACCAGCATTTCAATAAGTAATAGGACAAATGCTTGCTGGTGTGCTTTGTTATTTTAGTTTTTAAAAATAAGCTAATATGTCACTGCTTTATCAATACAGGGTAAACCAAGGTATTTTATTTATTGATGAAAGGTAGAGATTACTATAAATTTTTCCATTGTGTATTATTCAGAGGATATTAAAGGAGAGAAGGGAATTCAAAAACAGTAGTCTCCCTCACAAGCAGATTTTGGTGAAGTAAAAACACGGCACTATCCAAGATGATGTGCATCACTGACATTTTTGAGATTTTCCTTGTAATATTAGTATATGTCCCTCAGTGTGCATAAGTAAGCAAATATACTTGATGTGACTTTTTATGAATGGTTGCTAACTTAAACTCTTAGGTGATACGCTGTGGTGCTTGGACTTCAGAATAGTATGGCCTTTTGAAAGAGTTTTTAGCTTAGGTGTTTTTGCAATTGTTTCTTGTAAAGTTAAACCTTACAAAATCTTAAAGCAATGAAAGTTTGATATTGTTTTTGGCTGAAAAACACAGCATAATTGTATTTTTTTAATTTGTTTTAGTTCTTCCACAATGAGATTTTTGTCAGATGACAGTTTGTTCAGACAGTTTTGTTGGTTTCTTTTCCCTTGCTAGTCCTTATTTCAATCCTCATTGCTACTCTTTTGCCCTGAGCAAAATTTTAACTGTAGTGCTAAAGATCTCTCTCCATCTTTTTTTGGTAAATGAGGACAGAAGAAACTTCATAATTGGATAGAGCAGTACATGGAAAGAAAATTTCAGTGCTGGTTGAAATAGCTATTTTAGAAAAAAAGCCTCTTTTTTACAATGTAAAGTTTTACTGATTTGCCTTCATTTTGGCTGAATTTGAAAAAAAAAATTATCATGATAAAAGGAAATTCTGTCCTTGTATTTCCTCCCCTACCTTGCTTCTCCCATCCCAACAAGTTTAAAAGCTCTGCTTCTGAAAACTTCTGATTCTGAAATGGCTTTTATGTAACTTGCTTTTATTAATCTGTCTTAAAAACAATTTTCATTATGATTCCTGTTTCACAACTTTCCAGATACTGTAAATGTTGATATAACAGGGAAAAGAAGTTTCTAGACTTTTTTTATTTGGAAATTTTGATAATAATGTAAAATATCTAACCACTGGGTAAAAATTTGTGACAACTTCCAAGCTTGTATGATCAGTGATCACAGTACATTCATCTGGCAAAATAGGCAAAGTTGATTCCAGAGAGGTAAGAATTACCACAGTTGAAAGGAAAATGCATATGTTTATGAGTTATCAACTGTTAAGTAATAAAGTACGCGTTTGTTAACAGAACATACGGAGTGGTGCAGTGAGGACTTCTGTTCTTACAGCTTCTGAAGAACATTCTCTCATGTGTTGTTGATCTACTTTTCTTGGGAGCCAGATACTGTGGCCCATCAATCATGTTTGTCCCTTGTTTCCATATAAAGTTTTTTTGTGTGCTTAGTGCTAGAAATAGGTAATCAACAGAGTGTGTTAACAGATGAGTAAAGGTAAAACTGTCCTTAAAGTGAAGATTTGAGAGACTTTCTTTTGAAATGCTTTAATAAAAAATGTGTAATTTATTTGAAGTAGACATTCAACTCTATCTCCTGGCATGATCAAGTTCTTACTTTTGACGATGGGCTGACTAGATGGAAGAGTTAGGCTTACAAAAGTACTCAAAGACTTTTTGACACAAGTCTGTAAAATCATGATGTTAAATGTATTGAAGAGTCAAGGAATTAAGATACTGTTTGAAACAATTGGAATTACTAATAGAGTAATGACTTATTTTTTAATTTGACAGAATTGTAATATATGTTTTTCTTCACCTTTTAAGGTTGTAGGAATAAATTATCTGGGCAAAAAAACCCCTTACATTTGTTCATGTCTTCAAATCAGGCAGTGCTTGATAAATCCATCTCAATCTTTGTTGTTAGCTCTATTTTTAGACTGTTTTATTTAAAGCAGATAAGAAACGTTTGTCCCATCTACAGGAGTGCATGTTCAGAACATGAAATGTCTTGGTCTGATGTTTTTAAATAGAGTCTTGAGGACCGTGAAACTGATTTAACTTCAGAACACTTGTTTTATGTGCTCTATGCATTTAATTCCAGATTTGGGATCCAGTACAGATATCCTTTGCCATATGATGCCTTTCTATAGCTATGATATTCCTCATACATGCGGTCCAGACCCAAAAATCTGTTGCCAGTTTGATTTTAAACGTCTTCCTGGAGGAAGAGTAAGTTGCCCATGGAGAGTTCCGCCAGAGGCCATTCATGCTGGGAATATTCAACACAGGTACAATTTCTTATGTTTTGGAAGTGAATAATATATTTTTATGCTGATTAAAGAGCCTGTTCTATAGTTTTTGAAACTTGGCTACAGGAAAATGATACTTAAAACTTGCCTTGTGTTTGGGCTTAAGTTCAGAACATAATTGACAATGAAACATACAGATAGGTTCTGACTAAGGAAGATGCACGCAGATGAATGCCAAATTGAATATTCACTTGATCGGTTTTACTCTCTTCTTTTTTATGCCATTGAACCTTACTGAGCATTCTGCAGGCTGCTTTTGCTTTTATAAATAGCAGGGGGGGGGGAAAGAAACTTGTTCAAAATTATCTAATGTGGAATTAGCTCATTTAAATTCTTATAAAGCTTTATCATTTTCTTTTTTTCTTTTTTTATCACTTCTTTTTTTGATTTCCTTTTTTTTTCCTGTCTTCTGCACTACCCACGTGAAGAATCCAGATATGTGGACTATATTTAGTTAATTAGTTAGTTAGTCTTCCTCCCTTCCTACATGCTTTCTAGCTTAAATCTATTGCATCCCCACAACTCTATTTGGTTTTGAATAATCCACTGAAAAGTGACTTAATGTGAGTTCAAAATCCAATTGATACATATGTAACCAGAATATTACTGTAATTTTTGTTAATATTATATATAGCCAGTAATTTGGCTCCTGTCAGTGTTTAGTTGATGACTTAAGGGAGAGCACAGTGTGGTTGTACTGTTCGCTAATTTCAGTATAATAAGATACTTTCTGCTCTCTGTTCTTGCAGCTTCTGCTGATCTGTAGCCTGTTTTCTAAGGTAGACACTTAAACTGAGTCTATCTCCTGTGTCTTCAGATTCACCTATTTTTTTTCCCCTTTTTTTTTTTTTTTTTTTTTAAGTTAGAAATGGCAAGTTGCTATGCCATTGGTAAGAATCAAGTTTTAAAAAACTATTTGACAGCTTTGGAAAAAGACTATCTTGAAAGGAAATATTGAAATGTTAAGGGTATGGTTTTTGCTTGTTTTTGTGTTTGGTGTTGTTTATACCTCCAGAAAGATCCATTCCCACTCCTTGTTTACAATCTTTATTCCTTGTATTATTTAAACCATTCAGGAAGTCAAAAATTAGGATGATTAGGATGACTAGTGCAAATAGTTTATAGTAGCAAATATTTCAAGAATAACAAGGGTGACTTTCAGTTTCTAGCCTTGATTTTGAGATTTTCAAATAAGCAGCTGTCATTAGAAATGGTTGATACAATATCAAGTACATATGACACACAGATCAAGTGTTTATAGCTTTGAGTACACTAATATGTATTTTGTCAAGAATTTTGAAATTTTCCCGTTAAATTTAATTAAATTTCAAATGCAAGACTTTATTGGAGATAAAAGCAGAAGCATCACAATTGTCATTTTTTGATTGAATTTGGAATACTACTGGGAAAAATGCCATTTTCTTTAGAAATAACCAGAAATTGAAGTTAGATCTAACAACAGAATTGTTTTAGCACACACTTAACAATTTTGAAGAAAAGATGTTTCTTTAGATAATACTTAAAAAATTTTTTCAGGCATTTCTTCTTAGCTTGAAGAAATGAGGCAAACAGGAATCTTTGCTTTTCTATTTTACGAACAACTTGAGCAAGCAGGCTGTGAGGAATATGTAGAAAGAAATATTATAGGTATATATATTATATGTAGAGAGGAATATTAGGGAAGTTATTTCTTTATTTGTCAAGTCTCAATTGCATTTTTGCACTTTTATTGCACTTGCACTTTTATTATACTTTTGCATAATGCTTTAAACCAGACTTGTTAAAGAAATGAAAAGAGAAAGTAAAACTAACCTGATTGTCTTTTGATTCAGGAGAGAATGGATCTTTTACAATCAACAAACAGAAAAGAATGTAGACACTTCTTCTTTGATAACATGCTTTTAAATTCATTAAAATGTAAGAAACACTGAAGAATACAGAAAAAAATACTTGTATTTTAAGAACTGGGAATGTTGTATGCAACCAGATACTCTTCTGGTCTGACTTCTCTAGCAAGAGACATAGCACATCTACAACTCTTAATGATGAGGAGATTTGAGAGACACAGAAATAATTATAAAATCATATCATAAGTGTAGCAATGTCAAGGTTTGTCTCTGTAGGTTTGTTAAGGGTTGTGTCTGGCTGCCTTTTTTTTTAAGACTGGAAATATACATTGCATGTGTACAGTGTGGAGCTGAATAAAGCATTTGATACATATTGCATCAGTTCAGTGGCAGAGTTTAAATTGCTGACCTTTCTTAAATGCTAAGATTCCATTCAAAAAATATAGGTCTATTCAGCTGAGACTGTAACTCTTGATTTTAGTATTGCTGTGGTTATAGTGATATAAAGAAGAAACACAGATCTGAGAAGTGAAGACTAGCTGTTGGATTTATAATTGTCCTGCAGCTTTAATTGTCATTTGATAGGCATGAATGATTCAGCAGTCTTATTAAAAGTTTGCACTTTGTGAACTTACAGTCCCATAACAGTTTAGGTTATAAAGATTGTTGTTGTGTATGCCCTGTCCTGCAGCTGCATCCTAATCACATCTTTTTGTTTGAGTGCTGAACTTCTGACTTTTCAGAAAAAAAAAAAAAATCCAGCACCAACAAAAAGAAATCTACTAATAACTGAATTACAAGATGAGTTCACCTGAGCAAGAAATAACAGCTTTATTTTTTTTATGATAATGAATTGTACTTAAAATGGAGACATAAGTTGTTTTGATGTATACTTCCTTGTCGTGCATGAAAACAGAAGATTCTCTGCTGTTGGCTTATATGCTACAGAGTAAAAAACGTGTCTCATCTTCGACAAATCCTGTCTGAGAGTTTCTGTTCACTCTTTTTCTCTTCTCTCTGAAATTATATTTTAAAATCATTTTGGAGAGCGACTTGAATCTTTCAAGAGGATATACATGATTCTGAGTCATCTCATTTTGTTGGCGTTTTGCAACTGATAGTAATTTGCAGTAGAGGAAATCCCTGCTGCCTCATTACAAGCAACTAATAATTCAGGAGGAAAAGGTGATTTATGAACCGGGAGAAGGCAGCAGCATTGAGTCGAGCAGTAGATTTGGAAAGAAACTAGGCAGGAGTTAGAGAGATGTTGCCCGCAGTCAGATATAGCCTCTTAGCAGTAACCTTTCCTGAAGTCTTATGTTTCTCAAGAGGCTCTCCACTAAAATATTTTCCTAACCAAAAACTGCATGTTGGAAATTGGAGTTAGGCTGGCTTTTTAAAAGGGAGAATTAATTAGTCTTTTCTGTGACAATTTTAGTAGTTCTGTGAAGAGGAAGGCTCACCTCTTATGTTAAGTACAGGTTACTGTTGAAAGTCAGGGAACAAAAATGATTCAGAACTGTGTTCATCCTTAACTAACGTTCCCATGCCACTCCCTACTCCAGTATATTCAGACTTCGTATTTACTCAAAATTCTTGAAAACAGTTAAAAAAGTTAAAAGTTGAAGTTTAAAAAAGTTAAAAAGCAAATGCCCAGACTTCTTGTTGCCTGTTAGCCTTACCAAAAACAAGAAGAAAATTCTGATGAAAATAATTGCCAGATTTCAATAGTTATCTTCAGGGATTAATTTAAGGACTTTTTTGGGGTCAAGAACATGAAGCTTAAGTGTCTGAGGAAATTGCCGGTGGGGACAAGAAGAGTTTGTTTATTTTTTATTGTAAATAACGTTTGGAGAGGATTGAGATTGTTATCTATGTCCAAAACAAATAAACGTAATTTAGAGTAATGGTTGGTTTTGACACAGGAACAACTTGATGCATATTGATGGAACTTGGTAAGTTTATGAAAGATTTTAATTGGCTTAGTGTCTGCAACTCTGGTAGATTGCATATGTTGCCTGGTGCAGGGAAAAGCATCCGGGTTTTTATCCTTAAAAGGAATAGAGAAAAATGTTATCTGCTTGGTATTTAAAGAATGTTTTATCTAGTACTGACCTTTCTAATTCTGTGTTCTAAGTCATATTTTTTTTTCTCAAGGGCTTGGATGATTTTAGATCAGTACAGAAAGAAGTCAAAGCTTTTTCGTACTAAAGTTCTGTTGGCTCCGCTAGGGGATGATTTCCGCTATACTGAGAGCTCAGAATGGGATCAACAATACCAAAATTACCAGAAGCTGTTTGATTATATGAATTCTCATCCTGAGTTGCATGTTAAGGTAAATACAAAGGGTTTTTTTTTTCCTAGTTTGTGAAGTAAACATTTTTTTCTAGGTAAGATGAGATTCCATGGAAACAAATAGATACACCTGGATGGGACATGGGACACTGTGCCCTGTGCTGTAGATGTCCCTTAAGCAGAGGGGTTGGACTAGCTGATCGCTAGAGGTCCCTTCCAACGTCAACCTGTGATCTCTGATTCTGTGATTTTTGACAGCTCTCTTCAAAACAACATCCAGATCTTTTCTAGTTTTTAATAACTGGACATGAAAAGATAGGGACTCTTCTAATTCTTCCATGTCTGTGTTGTTTTG